GACGCGTTTCAGAAAGGCGGGGCATAGAGGAGAAACAATAATGTACAGTATGTGGAAAATAATGTGTTTTTTGAACCTTAAACCGCATAAACACATTTCATTACACCAAATACACAAACTAATGTTCTTTTTAGCAACATCATATGACCCCTTTAATTAAAACAGCAGAAGTTAGACTCTTACAGTTTGACTGAAACCACGTAATGCTGAAGTTATAAAGGTACGAGCCAAATGGCAAGCCTCTTGGAATCAGCTGTACTAATTTTTGAAGTCTTCATTGACAACAGTATTGATATGGAATTATTTGTGGAAAGAGAGGTGAAAATGGGTTTAAGACACAATGGTCAGATTCAAACCTGTATGAGCACCAAGGCTTGTCATTGTTTATTTTTATTCTTTTTTTTTTTACAACCTTTACTTTTAGTCAAAGTTTTTAGTTTTCGGACAAAATTATCCATTACATTTAGTTACTATTTAATGTCACTTTTATTAATTTTATTCAATTTAACTTTTTACTTTAACTTCAATTGAACAATTTAAAATAATTTTGACAATATCAATTTAGTTGATGAAAAAGTGCAAAATTGAACAAAACATTTCATTCATTAATTTAAACGTATCAACATTTAACAAATATTTTCACATAAACAGTATGCTTGCATTAAAACAATTAAACTACAATCTTAATGTATTAATCAGCATCATGATGATTTTATTTTTTCAAAAACCCTTTGTCAAAGAACATCGTTATTAGCAAAATTATTTTAATGGTTTGTCAAAACAGTACACAAAAAATGATAGGAATAGACGTGACGGATCCTCTACACATTACACAACAAATCAAATTAGCATCTTCTGTGTGTAAAACAACACCCTATGCATATCTCAAAAGGTGAAGCGATTTGCTTTTTGAAGTCTTTCCAGCACTGGTCTATTAGATCCGATTAGATATAGTTGCTCGATACGAAGTGAGTGATATGTTTTTCACAGGTGAGATCAAGAGGAGAGCAGCTCTGATGTTGGTGTGTATGATGTGTGATGTAAGAATCAATGCTGATCTCTGTTTCATGAGCGACACTCAGCGAGTTTTCAGAGAAGACCCACATCTGAAAGAAACATTATGCTGCTCAATGCAAGTCACACACTTGTTCTTTTTGATTCTCTAAGCCTTGTTTGTTTAGAGGAGGTGTGTCAGGAACTTTGGATCGGTGAACTCTACACCCACACATGGACCGTGGGAGATGCTGACAGGTGAGATCAGTGAACACAGAACATGCTTTATCGCAAAAGTTCAGAGTCCAGCTTTCGGTGTCTGTGTGCTCATTCTGGAATAGAAAATACCATTCATAACTAATTTTACTGACACAGATGCGATCTGTCATAACATGATGTGGGTCATGAAACCGGCAGCACATCTGATCTGAGAGCTGCAGCAGAGCTGAAAGTGATCGGTGAATGATGGTTTAAATTTTGGTCCGTCATCACACAAACTACAGAGTGCTGCTGTGATGGCATATTTTTGTAGGTCAATCCATCACCGTGGTACCCTCAACAAAAACCCAATGGGATTATCAATGAAGCTTACAGATTTTGTTCATCATGATTCACAAATGAGAACAACGTTTTTGAATTTTGAAGCCTAAATACAATCTTCAAAAGTAAAAAGCCAAACGTAGCCTTATAAAAGTACCTCATGACTTCAATGTCACCATCACTAAGTTTCCAACAACATTTTCAGTAAGAATAGTTTGCAAGAGTGTGATTCTAAACACAACTAGGCTGTGAAAGCAAAATAGTGAGTAGATTGGTTTTCCTGTTTGGTGTGAGGATGTTTAATGACTCCAAAAACCTCTCTGTCAGAACACTACACTTCAAACACTGGAGTAGATCTGAAACACATCATCTATATACATTTAATTTCTCTAATATAAACTTAAAACTGGGGCAAGAAAATTCTATGTTGTCATTTGTGTCATTTTCAAGTAGACTAATGTGTGACCCTAGTTCAGGTGAGTGTGTCCTGAGGAGCTGGTGGCCACTGGTGGGGCATGAAGTGGAAGATTGGAAGGGTTGATTATTCATGCTGTCTGTGTGGATATGAACAGAGGGGCTGAACTGAAGTAGAGATGTCAGGGGAAAAGAATGTCAGTCACTCGTCAGGCTAGTGACAGTAATTTTTTCCATCTTATTTCCGCTTGTCATAAGGCCTTCTCTAAACTGATCAGAAATGTACATAAACACATGCATGCGATTCATACAAACGCATCAACTTTACCATTCGTACACATCATTGTATACTATAAACAAACCCACAGTTCACCGACAGTGTAACCTAACTGATTATACGATCTTAGTAATTAAATGAAGGAACACACAAACAGAAAGTAAGGATTATTTTTTACCTTGTTTGTGAGTAATTGGCACACTTGAGGCACATAGTCAATGAGGCAGCCACCACTGGGGAATGCTGGGATATGTAATGCCGAAGATCCTCCAAGTGCACTGAGAGGGAAAGAGGAGGAAATAAAAGAACATTAATAACATTTTAATTCACCCCTACATGCCTTAAAAGGAATAACATTATTGACAGTTCCTGTATCCCATATAGCAAAGTCAGTGAATTGCTAAAAAATGTTTCTGGAAGTCAACATTTGGTGAAAGCACAGAGCAGCTGATTTTCGGGCATCACTGCCTAAACACTCCTCTATGTTCAGTTTGGGAATTCTGAAGTACTTTAGTGTGCAGCACCTGGAACAGCATCTACAACCCATTTCCATAATTACACAATACATTATCTACTCATTCTTTATAACGACTATTTTTCACATTTTATAATACTATTAAAGCCATCAAAACTGTGGAAATTGGAAATAACAAATGGAAATTACTGGGACAAAAACTCTCCTATATTTTAGCTTCTTAAAAGTAGTCCTTCGAAGACTATTACAGCTCTGCACACTTTCTGCATTTTCTCAAACAATTTCAAGAGGTGCTTTGTATGCTGGGAACTTGCTGGCTGTTTTTTTTTCTCCCTCCCAAGAATTTAACATCAAAGGCCTATGCATAAATGATATGTAAGAAACATAATTTAGTAACACTTTATTTTAAGGTGCCCTTGTTACACGTTACACGTACTTACTATTATAATAACAATAAATGATGCATAATTATGCGCAAGTAACCCTAAAACAAACCCTAATCCTAACCCTAACCATATAGTAAGTACATGCAGTTAAGTAATATTACTCAGTACTTAAATGTATAATTACACTATAACAGGGACTAGGGTTGCAAAAAAGGTGGAAAATTTCCAGTAAATTTCGGAAACGTTCCAGAAATTATTGAAACTTTCCAGGATTTTTTGGAATATTCCAGGGATTTTTTTGAAAGTTTCCGGAAATTTACCGGGAATTTTCCACCCCTTTGCAACCCTAACAGGGACACCTTAAAATAAAGTCTAACCTAGAAATTCAATCATGTTTTACATTCAAATTTTTATCATTTGTTCAAGACCTTGTGATTGAAATGATTAGTAGAATGGTCTTGGACTAAATCTTGGACTATGCTTTTATACACCACGACTTACAATGCATTCAAGGAAAGTTTTTTTTTTTCTTTTTTCCCAGAATTGGACTTTGCTGGTCTACACTGCATCTGTGCTTAGAAATCTGCACCATACATACTCCCCCCCCCCCCC